AACATTAAGAATAGAGGAGATAAATAAAGACAGATGCCGCGCATTTCCGTAACGTTTTACCACCTCTCAGCTGCAAGAGATTCGAGAAGATACTTGAAGTACTTTATACACTTCTCTTCTCGTATTTCTTTTTGTCCCACCTGATCGATTAAATTCCATTTCGATCCGTCGATAGAGAAGGGAAAGTTGATTAACAACGGCCGTGCCTGCCAACTGACGTTATAGTCTGACTGTGCAACCGGTCGTACGTTGCATTTTTATAATCTACATATGATTATTCAGTCTATAATTTCGATATATAGGTCAATGTCTCGGGCCGCAATAAAGTATCAATCGTACTTCATCTTGTCCCAATCGCGCGGACGTTCTACTTTTGGTAGATTAATTTTTTCCTCCCACCGATGTCTCCTTCCCCTCCCCCTCTTTCTTTTTCTCTCTCGCCTCTTTCTCTTCCGCCCTCTCTCACTTATCTCGTTTTGTTTTGTTGTCATTTTCGCGCGTCTCATTTCTTACAATCTACATATGGTTTTGCGGGTCAATGGCGCGCGCGCGCGCGCGTACCGCAATAAAGTATCAATCATACCGCCTCATCTCCTCGGACCAACCGGCCGGCCAGCCAGCCCGCTTCGCTCCGCTCCGGGATGCTGCGCGCCGCGTGGCGCCCAGGTGTGTTCCGCCTCGCGAATATGAAGAGTGCCGGCAGCCTGGTGACACACTTCCCCAATTCTCGCATTGTTCTTCATCCGCGTGCACGTACGAAATAAATCTCCGTACGGCGGGGAGGGCAGCGGAATGAGCGAGGGAGGAAGAAAAGGGGGCTGACTGGTCCCCCTGGCCTCGTGACCGGCTCGTAATTGCGATTGCTTTTCGTGGGAGGGCCGGTAGATAATTGATAATTAAGCGCGCGCCCTTCTTGCCCCCGGCGAAGAAGTTGGGAGATGATGAGGGAGGGGCGGAGGGGGGGGGGAGGAAGAGAGAACGGCAGGGAACGGAAGATCGAATGTAACGATGCAATTTGGGACTTGCGTGTACCGGATGCGATTGGCCGGCGCTCTTGCTTTCCATTAGTGCCGCACGTTATATAGTATATACCTATACTGAATCTTCTGTCTACTCCAATTTAGGATTCGTTGTATGTCAAATCGTATCAGAGGAATGTAGTCATGCATATTTATTTCGTCAGTGTCGATTAATTTCAATCTTGGTTTAGGTGACGCTTCTGCAGAAGTAAACACGAGTTCGTTTGCTTAAAATGGCTCGTCTGACATTTTCAATTAATACAAGTAAATCTTAATCTTAATTACAGCGAGTTACGAATCGTCGAGCTCTCCTCTGGAATGCGTACATCTCAATTTAATGCGTATTTTCATCTTCCTCCGCGTCACATTAATTCGCGCCGCTGTCGGAAATTTCTAAATATGTTTCTACAAGTCGTTACACCCGCGGTATGCCGACGCAATCGGTCTCCGTCGCGATGACGAAGTTTCAGATCGGCATTGAAATTCCACTTTGGCGGGCTTATCTTAACTTTTCGACGGTGCACATGTGCGCAAACAAGCCGCGCGCGAACGTCAATACGCGCCCGAATGTCTCTCAAAACTGTTAGGGTTCGACGTCAGAAGATCGTGTAACTTTCCTTGTGTTTCTCTGAGAGTAACGGTTTTAATCGTATATCGGGAAAAAAAAGGAGATGAGACGCGGGCCACTTCGGGATGTTTTTCACGACTGTTTTTTTACAAACGATGCGCTGCACGTTTCGCGAGATGAATCAATGTTAACTTAAGCAACAGAATTAATGTTTATTTATAGTTGTATACGCTCGTAAGCAGACCGGAGTATAGCTGTGTAAGCGTCGCGATTAATGAATATCAATGATTTTTTTTTGTTTTCAACTCGTTTGTTTGTCGTCAATATACACCCGTGGACTCGATCTTTCCCATGTACACCGGTCGTAACGCGCGAATCAAAGTGTTACAACGATAATTCAGTTTATTGCCTTGACTTTACTCTCCTCCACCTCGGGACCACTGCCAACTCGTTATATCAACTATAAATTGCTGGTAGTATTCTCTCCCTCTCTCTCTTTCTCTTTCTTCTTCTTATCTAGGGGTGAACCCGGTAGGAACTCTATCGTTGTAAAACTATACGAGTAATAACACTGTAATTCATTGTCAGTGGCCAGGCAATAATGCGGCGTCCCGCGGAGTCGGGTTGGTTGATGTCGCTTTCGTAGAAAGGTGCATTGTCGCACGAAGGTAAGATACGTCCTGGAATACGCCGGTCCACGTTCGTAGTTCCGCTTCCCAGACTCAATTCGCGCCACTGGTATTTAGAAAAGCGGAGAGAGTAAAGAATCCTGCAAACAGCATAAATAAAAATACTTTAAAGTAACAAAACACAAATAAAACCCAAATGCATTGTCGACTATTATATATGCTACATTAATAATAGAATTCGTAATCATTCTATATATAGGATCAAGTTCCAAAACTAATTTCTTACAATTAGTACAATACATGATTTTTTCAAAACTAATTTTTTCAAAACTAATTTCTTACAATTAGTACAATACATGATTTTTTTAAGAAAAATATTACAAGTATATATAGATATTTTGTGATATATAAAATTTGTATAACAATAATAAAAAAAAGATATATAACGTGCGTTTTGGTTTCAATACTTATCTCTTTTCATTTTCAATGAAAATATAAGATATCGTTTTATTCCATTGCATAACTATGTCAAACACAGAGTATTCCATGCAGTGAGTAATATTTTTTCAATGTACCATACGCGTCTGAGTCATGACGCTGGAATTCAAGGCTCCGGACACCCGCATATTCATTGATCTCGACGGAAAGCCGTTTATGTGGAATACGCGGACTTCTAATCGAGGGAGAGCATTATTAGCCGACAATACCTGACGCTGTACGTAAAGGCGAATAGCCGGGGGGATCGTTATCTGCGCGACGAACACGAAGAAACATAACTTCGTCGTCGGGGGGATCGTTGCTTATCCGGCGGGATCGCGTAGGTGTTAAAGCGCGCGGTTCTCGCCCACTTGAATCGATTCCGAATGGACAGCACGATCGTTTCGTCCTATCGTTCTGTTAACTGTCGCGTCGTTAAGGAGACCGCCCGTCGAAAATTATAGTCTACCAGTAAATTTTTCTACCGGCATTTCCTAACAGTTCTTCAAATTTTTACAGAACGTTACGAAACTTGTGGTTTTCAAAGGTCACTTTAAAATTATTAATCATGCTCAATTAATTTATTAATGTCGTCTGTAATCTTTTTCTTGAAAAATCTTAAACGTAAAAAGCTACATAATGAAAAATATTATATTTTAAATTAATGTATGTATACATTAAATACCTGCATAAATGTTGCGTGTATCTTTAATTCAATTTATATACATCGAATATCTCGGTTACATGCATCAACTTAATTCCATTTCAAGACTGTTCTCTCTAAATTTGCCAGTCGAAATTAAATTAAATACGAAGATGTATTTACAGGCGAAATTATAAATGCAGATTGGATTGTCACGTATGCACTTGCTTATTTGTCACGTTGAACCGTGAGGAGACATGGGAGATGTCGGTGAATAATTACGGCTTATTTTCACGAAATTACGCGACGCGATGCAAAGTGCGTTAAAGGCGTTGCTTAATCAAGAGGCGTTCTGCATTATTTCATAACTGGACGAATCACGTCGGCGGCGGATTGCACAACCCGCCACGCCGATGTATTCACGCGACACGCGCGAACGCAATTCCGGCATCGCGTTCAATTGCCTCGCGAATACAATCGATCAATAAATATTTATGAGCGGCTCGGGCATGTCTCGCGACGCGACAGATGCACGCCTGCCGACGTTTTACGTCGATGGTGTCTGTTAGGGACTACAGCCGGGGATGGTATATCCTTGTTCGAGATATTAAAAAATTCAGATCTTTTTGTCCTTTTAAAGTACGAAACTGCCAGAATAACGAAAATCTAAAAAGATTTAAACAAAGTATCTTATCTTTATAATTATACAATTTCGCGGTCTTCTTATTTAAAGTCCTGTGAGATTCGATAATATTAAAATTGCCATTATCGAAACCGCACCTCTATAACTTTTAAATTGTATGATTAGAAATTTAAAAAAAATCCAAATTCTATAATTTTGAGACTCTATACAGTCTCGGGACAAAAGATTTCGTAATTTTAATATTGGTAACGTTTCAAATCTCCCTAGATCATGACTCACATTTATGATTAAATTCGAGCTGAGTTTGGACCAATCGGTTTTGAAGCTCATTTTTATAAATATCAACAATACTCTTAAGGCGTTATAACATTGCGTTGTGTGGAAGGAATGTACCCGCCGGTTCTTGCGACGCTTATTTACGAGCACGTTATACACGCAATGTTAATTCGACAGATTTGACCGTAAATAACGCCCGTGTATACCCACACGCGTACCAGGTGTATATTTATCTCACTCTATAAAATTCATTCCCGCCGGATGTACCGCAGTTTAGGTGATGGCTGAAATTTATGAACGCAAGTTGTGGAATCAACGCGCAACGAATTTTGAACGCGTTCATCCGATACACATTTTTTTTTTACAATCATTAAAGACAATTTTATCCACGTGCGTAAATAAATGACGTTCTGGTGGCACATGTATTTCAACAAAACTAATCGTGCGTATATTTCGAGATGCGAAAATTCCGAGCATAATCCTAATAAGAGTTTTTTTTTTTAAGTTTCTAATCTTTCAATAACATAATACAAACGCGATTCTCTCCTCTCAGAACACGGAAGGATTTAGAATCTAAGATCGATTTCTATTTGCCGATAGCATCTATAGAGAGACAGAGTGTCGTATGTACATTCAAACGCGCTGGGATATCGACAGATATACGAATAGAGATACGTCAAATTAAATCCGATTCTCGATTCGTGAATGTCATAGTGATCAGTCCGTGTTCCATCGATTGTTTCAGGAGAATGGCTGCCTGTACTCGCATATACGATGGGGCGAGGCCTTCGTCGTGGTCTACAGCGTGACATGTAAGCGGAGCTTTCAGGAAGCCCGTGGACTTCTCAAGCAACTCGCGGATCTACGCCTGCCGTCCTATTTCACCGCCCTCCTGCTCGGCAACAAGAGAGATTTGGATCATGCACGGTAAGCGTAAATCACACATTGTTAGAAGTATGATTAACGGTGCCGTGCGAAGGGGCGGGCGTGTATCACCGGTAACGTCCGATGACGATCTGCTGACTGATATACGACCAAGTAAACCGCACGCACGCGCATCGTAAAAACGGTAATTATCAATAAATCAGTAGTGACGTAATTTTTCGCCGCACTTCATCGCGAGAGGAGTCCCCTTCCGGTGCGTCTCGCAGCACCGTTTATCGCGTGTATTATATATAATTATAATTAATAATCGTTTCCCTCCGAGTTATAATTTATCCGATATCATCAGGTGGAACTTGCGGAATTCGAATTATTATGTTACCGTAGTTACATTTCAATCGGCTGTTGAATAATTATTAATAGTCTACATGATACTTGAACGCAAGCTGAATATATTTCCCGCGCTGATAAAACTAAAAGAAAAACTGCTTGGGTGTTCGTAAGTAATGTTGTGCTTACACGTGGCCCATTTTTACCCGCGGCCTCGCAAGTCTGGCACACTTCGTCGATTGTCGTCTTTAAGGGGTTCTCACACGGTCAATATTTCTGTTTCAAAATATATCTTTTATTAACAGTAATTATTTTTTTTTAATTAAATAGATTGAAGGTACATATAACTTCTAAAATTTTGATATATCGGATTTAATGAAAGAGATGTTGAATATTAGAGAGACAAAATATTTTTCCGCTCGCGAGAAATGTCTTCTCTCGAGGAAAAATTGTACCTCTGGTTCGCGATTTGTCGTGAAGATCAAGATCGTTGATCTCGTGCGCTTTATTCAGCTCCAAACACGCGTCATGACTACGATGGCGAATCCCGTTCTCGGAATCGACATTTATCGGGTCGCGGAGCTCACTCGATTGCCCGATACGGATCGTATGAGGGCCGCTTAAGTGGCTCGCACGGCGCAAGAATTACAATATCATTTCGCGTCGCGCGATCACCGATCGCGCGACGCTGCCTTATGTATCGCCCTCGGCGAGTCGTCGATTATTCGATCGTTCCTCTTTTTCTTTCAACGTCGCGTTTTATCCCGGCCGATCGCACACGTGCACGTCTATTAATCCTGCGCTTCACTTTCCACCTGCGAGTAACAGGATCCTCGCCCGGCTGTTTCCTGGACGGGGTGAGATTTCGCGTGAGCCACGCGATTCGTATTTTTTCCTAGGCAGCCCTAGCGGCATTTTATCGGGTTGTCCCAGCATGATTCCGTTTGTCTCTTCTGCACTCGCTCACCACGCTGCACGTTGCCCACCACGAACCGGTTGCTTCTCGGTGTCTCGCATAACAGGAAAATAAGGCATTTTAGACCTTTATGTTCCAAAGTTACAGACCTTAAGTATGCACGTAGGAGAGACTTATCGTTGAATTATACAAAATCCTTACATCTTCGATCGAGTGTTTCGAATGTCTAATCTCCGATTGTGAGCTATGGCTTGATATTATTAATTTCTATGACTTCTCTCGTGTAATTTGCATCTACTACCGGAATTGCTAGAAACTTTTTGTACGACGTTCTTGTTTGAGGAGGGATTTTTTGCCGCGCGCGCGCTTAAGTTTCTTTTTTTTTTTGCCGGCACAGCGCGCGTTTTCGCAGAAACCAGTTCAACGAACCGAACGAACGTTCGATCGGCCACACGATGACGGAGTAAGTTAATCGGCCGACTGGCACGTCAACTCTCCGGCGAGCGACTCATCCAAGTCGGTCAGGCGACTTGGACAGGTAAACAGATCTGGCATGGCGAAATATCGCGTGAACGGTTTCTAGACGAGCGACGAACGACCACTACCGGGTGCCTCTCGAATCGGCGGCATCCGATACTGACGCTGCGGTCCGCGCTAGATGCCACGTGTCATGTTTCACGTATCGCGGATTGGGCGGGTCGACAAGTATGCGAATAAATGCATATCAAGGAGCAATTGCCAATCGTAGTAGAAAACGGTAGGAGAGGTGCGAAGATATTAAGTTATTGTATAAATTTCCTCGTTTTTTTTTATGTCGTGCTCTTGGAAAGATCTGTATATTATAGATCTTTCAAAATTTAGAATCAGCAATTTAAATCTCTCCGGAGATTATTTGAGAATTCAAGAATTTAAAAGTTTCTACTGCAAGATTTATGAGATACATTAATTTTTAATTTATGGGAGAAATATCTGTCTCTTAATGATGATGAGTCTAATTTAACAAACTATATCTTGCAATTAATTTGGCGACGCGACGGGCTTCTATAAAAGCTGTATAAACTTCTTCGATGCGTAATCGAGTCGTGATTTTCTACGTCTGCAGAATGTGATGATGTCGAACGAAAAATCATGCAAAAAAATGTAGGTTGTTCGATAAAAGACGCGCGATACAAACAGGTGTGGCTTGCGTGCGGTTTCTTGGGCGCTAATACATCTTGTCGCATTTTATGCAACCAATCGCTCAAAGTGCATCATCGACGACGTTGCGTGATTCGGGCGAGAGAAAGCTAGGAAATACGCGCGCGCGTTCGCCGTTTTTGCTTGTAACTTGAATAAAGAGTGGCGGCTCATTAGCCTTGCTCGATCGGCTTCTCATGTGTCCGCTGCAGATAAATTAACAGGACAGTGACGCGCGTGTGAATAAATATTCGAATTTCTCGAGACGCACACCTCATGAACTCGCTGAGGATTCACGGATCGATGGTTTTCTTTCAAACACAAATGTGAAGAATATAAAATGCTTTCTCTTAGGTTTGAATCTTTTAAAAAAAATCTTATTAGTTTAGTGACTGTAAATGAAACTATCTATTTTTCATTTTATCAAGAAATAAAATTTTTTCTGTAGTAAAATATATGGATATAATAAAATTTTTACGATCTAATATTACGTTAATTTTACGTAAATTTTATGGAATTATTCGAATATTAATCAAGTACCAATATAACATTTTATTTAAGATTAATTAGTACTTTCTTGAAGAGACTTGAATTTCTTTTACACACTCGATTGCCCGGAGATAATCTTCATTTTGGTTCTTTCCGCTAATGAATCGTCTTCATTATCGCTTGTTACGTCGCTCGCATCGCGAAGATCACGCCTCGACCGTTGTAGTCGCGGAAGAAACACGTAGGTGAACAGGACCTCACTTGGTATCCCCCTTCTTCGTCGGACGGAGAGGAATTTCCCGCGCGATTCCCGCAGGAATGCGGATCGTCGTTAACGAAGACACGCTCCTTTTCTCGCCTTACGAGCCTACCTTCTCTTCCTTACGTTGCCCTTTATGGGGCTTTGCATACCGGGAGAAATCTCACCGATGATCTAGTAACGACGGCGGCGCGGCGCCGCAATTACATACGCTCGATGCTACTATATACAGGATGCCTTGAAAAAGTATACATCCCATGCCGGGACTCCATTCACGAAGGAATTCGAAGTCGTTCGTGCTTTATCGTCTTTAAAATAAAAGTTGATCGAAAGGCCGGATGCGTAATTACCGATGTTAAATATACATTCATTTAAAACTTGACTTGAAAATATATTATTCTATTCAAAAATCTACATCTACTACGAAAATCTTCAAGGATCCAATCGAAAAATGTATTATTACGAAGATTCAAATATTTCAAATTAGTTCTTTGAATTTGATAATTTTTTTTAGAAACGATATCCCCGATGGTCAAAATATTATGTAGATTAAAAAGGGGGAAACAAGTCGAAATAGGCACAATGGAATTCGACTCTCGGTATTTCCACCTCCGAGTCACCTTTAAAACAACGAAGATGACGAGGCAGAGGTCGAGTTTTATAAGACGTACACGAGTACATGATCGAGGTAAATAAAGTGTCGTGCACTCGCTGGGAGTTTTGCGGAGAGTTAACAAAGGGAAAGACGACGGGGTGTCCCGATAGCCACGGGCAAATACCAAAAATGTCACACAAATAAAATGTCACAGACCTGACGGTGTTGCAAGCGAGCGATCGGCCGTCGATCCGCGACAGCGATTGCGGCGCTGGCGGGAAAAGAGCAATTCGATTTACGTAACTGGCATTTTGATGGCATGTAAGAGATACACGCTCTTCGTAACTGTCACGATTATCGTCGAGAAATTTAATTAAACCGGAATTATTCGAGAGATCCATCGATCCCCGGGTCATAAATTACAGCGCGCCTCTCCTTGCGTGTCGCATGCAGGGAAAATGATCAATTTTAAGTTAATCTTATCGGGCGTGACGCTACTTTACATGTGAGACCATGAAACAAAATGAAGTCTGCCTAAAGAGGCGCGTGTATATTATTTATTATAAAACCTTGAACTTTATAACTTAAAATTCTAATTTTTTTTTTCAGTTTTTTAAGAGTTTTAAAATTTTAAGATTTCAAACTACCCAAATATCTCAGTTTCGAAGTGTAGCATTTATATAACAGTTCAAAATGTTAATAATTTAATTTTATGAAGAATAAATAATTTATTACAAGACTGTAAAATCTCATACGAAAAGAACGTTTTTGTTAAAAGGTCTAAAAATTTTACTGAATAGATCTGAAAATAATTTTTTTTGTTAAACCGTCAAAATATTTTGTTGGAATATTAAAACTGATAAGTATTACTATAAAACGTTTTGATATTTGAGCAATCACATTTTGCCTTTTACACAAAATTATTTTGATTATCGAACAAAAATTACTTTCAGATCTGAATCCAGCAACATTATTCTTTCCGTGTATAAGCATAAGAGTTTAAAAGAGTTTTTCTTAGCTTCAAGAAAGCTTCTTGAAGAGTTTAAAGTTCCGAGTTATCAAAGTTTTGAAATGAATTTATGGGAGTGTGAAATAACTTACAACTTTTGAAATTACTTATAGAAGAAGAAAGAACAATTTTTAAGAAATCAGGCAATGTTAGATAATTGATGATAGATTTTAAAACTCTTAAATGGAGAAGGCGCGCGAAAATCGAACTCTCGGGGAAGACTGATCTGTGAGACGAGAGAACCGCCGCGCCGCGCGTCGTGGTCTCCCCTATCCGGTAGCCAGGCTCGTCGTCTTAATGGAGTTCATAAAGATTAGAGTGAAGTCCGCGCTGCAGGGCTGGTGAGACCACTCTCCACTCTGAGAACGAGTTTTCGCCGCTTTTAGATGCATCCAGAGAGCCTGTCGCGTCGTTCAGCCGCGAATATTGCGCATCGATAACGCTTATCTCGAAATATCGCGACCAACAATTCCACGCAGCGAGGCGCGACAAGATAGACTGGTTCAGGAAGAGCCACTTCCGTTTCGATTGAAGTATCTTGGTTTCTCAGACACTCTGATTTTTCTTATCTTTGCAACTTTCGTATTTTGTGTATTTTAAATTCGTTTTCTTTCTAAGTTTTCGTCATATTGGAAATCTCACATATCATTTGAAAAATTTCCACTATTGAAATCTTGGAAATCTTTTGATCCGCAACATGTAGGTACTTGAAAAGCAACTTCTCTTCTTCCCCACAAATCTTCATCATCCTTTCATGTATCCATTTTTATGGTATATTATCCGATTAAGCGTATTGACGTGTTTCTTGTCTCAGAATACTCATCGTAAATTATTTCGTCCGTCTACTGCGAATTGAGAAAGAGCACGGGAATGTCAGAAATCAACACTCGCCGCTCGTAAACAACGGCCGGGGTGCAAGGGGGATCGCCCCGCGTATAAAATATAAAAGGGAACGGGGAGATATTAACGGCCGCGAGCGTGGCACGTCGGCTTGTGCACGATCGCGTCTAATCGCTCGCCCTCCCACGTGCCCTCTCCTCGAATCGCGCGCCCTGTGAGGATCATGTGTTTCTTGCGAATTTAATTGTCTCCATAAATATCGGAGTTCCTCTGCCCCACACGCAGAGCCACGCTCTCTCTCTCTCTATCTATCTGTTTCTTTTTGCGCTGGAAATATACAGGGATACCCTCCCTTCTTACGCCCTGCCACCTTCGTTCCAAGCATCTCGAAGATCCTGAATCTTTTGGTCTGCATTTTTTGTGCTAATTAAAATGCATAAAGCATCCTACGGCCGTTCATCGAATATCTCGAAAGTCAATTTAAAAGGCCAATATTGTAATGTGTGAAACTAAAAAATTAATCTAATATTTCGAAACTTTTTAAGCACTAATGAAATGTCTAATATCTATCACACACAAGTTCGCATATACATATAGTATCTCTTAAATATGTTAAAATTTTATTTTTAAAATTAAATAATCCTGCGAATATTTCTATATTCGTTCCACTCTCTACTTTGTATGAAATAATGTCCCATGTATTATAATAAACGTGACAGCGCGCATTATAGACGTACAGAAATATACAAGAGCTAACAAAGCTCTTATTAACCCTAACATCATAAATATCCTGCGGCGCCTGGCGGGCCTCATCCTGGCGAAATTCCAGTGACTCCGCTTCCTCTCATAAATGTATGGTCTTTACGCGGTCGCCGTTCAATCACCTCTCTCTCTTCACGCGTCTGGTGTTTGCCAAACTCATAGCATCCGTCGTCGGCCCGGTATGTTCTGCCGTTTTGCGAGGATTTAATTTCCAGCCTTGGACGATTCCATTGACTTGGAAGGCGCAACGTCCGCCGCCGCCGGCGGTATAAATCTGCGAACGCCCGCAGCATCCGGTCCGCATTTCCGCCGCTCCCGATCGATGTTTCAACACATGATTCGAGTGTTCCGCGACATAAACCACTCCTTGTGAATCATACGAAATGACGATCCTCTTCAAGCGACGAACGTGTTCCGAGTCTCCAATTATAAAGAGAGTTATAAAGCAGGGGAGGCTGTAAATCACAAAGTTTTACGATTTCGAAGTTATAAAACTAAAAGATCTTCAAATTTTTGTTGTTTTTAAGAATTGAAATCTTAAAGCTATTACGAGATGAAAATTCACGCTAATCTTAGAAAGCTTACGTAATTTTAGTTTTACAATTTTTAATTTTCAATCAAATAACATTAAAATCTAAATCTATTTATGCTATTAAATGGAGGAATTTGGAGAAGCTTAGATTTAAATGCAGGACTTTCAGTATGCAAAGCGGACACTCCGAGTTACATCGAATTATTAACGAAAGATTCCAAAGTACGCTTTTGACATTTCGAGAGTCTCTTCTTTAAATCTTAGGCATCTCGAAGGCGCGCATTCGTCAAAGAGCTCGTTAAAGAGGGATCGATAAACGTTTCTGTTGCAGAGAGGTCTGCGTGGACGAAGGCCAACAGCTGTCGCTGGCGCACGGATGTCAGTTTTACGAGGTGAGCGCCGCGGAGAGTCCCGCGGGGGCGGCGTTAGCTTTTCAGGCGCTCCTGCGGGAGGCGAGGTCGGTCCAGCTTCTGCGAGCGTTGCCGATCCGCAGGAAGCTGGGCGTACACTCGGTCTCGAGGGTCCTCGGGACGATCTTCGGCAAAAACACCACCAAGGACCGTAAGAAAAGGCCGTCGTTGAGCATATGACGCCTTCTATGCGCCCTCCTCCTCGGAGGACGAGATGAGCCAGGCAGGAGAACTGACATCGTCGTCCTCAGCAGCAACGTCTATTCCAATCGCTGACGAAGTTTTCAGTAAGGACATGCAGAATCTCCCTTGTGCCTTTCTGACGAAAGGCAGTCATTATCAGGATCCGGAAGACCGTTTTTGGAAGTGTCCTTTGACGGCGAGAAAGCGATCCTTTTCTTCAAGCGTCTTGAAGAAAGATGCGTTTGCTAATGGCAATCAAACTCCCGAAGTCCTGGATTCGGGGGTTTCCTAATAAAACTCCGAGGACGCAAGACTGATTTTCTGGTTTCGAGGACATGCAGGGTACGATGCACTCTGACTCAAAGTGTCTACGGCTCTTTTCAACATCCGGTAGTAGCCGAGAGATCCAGACTCCAAGAAGATTTCAGTCATGGAGGGCGGCATTCATTTTTGGAAAAAAGAAACTGTTTCGTGTGCCGAAGAAGGACGTTTGGTGTTCGCGTGTGATTCTGCTTTCAGTGGCGTGAGAGAAGCGAGTCGACGTAGAACTGAGAGATTGTTTCGCGGTACGCAAAGGTACTTTTCTTTTTAATATTGCGATAATATTTTACAGTGATTACAAGTGACTGGCAAGTTGTTCCTGAACGACGTAGTCCTTAGATCGATTTATCGAAAATGATCTTATGATTGCGAATCGCGCAATCGGTTCCGCGAGTGCAAATTTTATAATTTGGGATACATAAAATACTTGCACATTACTCGGTATTTAAGTTATTACGTTACTAACCCTAAACAGTGTATAAAGTTCTCGTTTCATTAATTTTTTTAGTGATACTTATAAACATCTAAACTCTTCGAAAGATATTTATACACGATTGTTTAACTCACGCTTCTATATATTTTTCAGCTATCCTTTTGTTGATCATGATTTTGAAACTAAATATTTTTTTTCATAACAATGAAATATTTTATACTGTTTAGGGTTTGTTATTTTTTTTTTCTTTCAATGCTCCCGTACGAAACCCGTGAGTCTTTCAAATTTCGATATTTCCACCAAGTGGAAGAAGAGATCGCGATTCGATTCGATTTTCTGCCTATCGCCTTAATTGTATCTGGAAGGTGTTCGCAGAGGTGCTCTCGTTGAGAGCGATTTTTAGCACCTTCATCGCCAGGCGTGATTGATTCGATGACTTTAATGTTCCTAAAGAAAGTAGCCTAAGTGTAAATAGCGCACACGTTCACTTATACTCTGCTGAGAGTCTCGGAGACTTGAGTAATCATTAAGATTTGCATACGAGAGAGAAGAAATAATGAGCGCGGGTGTTGAAACAATTCTACAATTAAAGATTATTTGATTTGTTTATTTGATCTAATAATTAATCGAGAATATTTACGATCGTAACAAACGAATACGAAATAATACAGATTTGAATCTCAACTAAAAATAAAGTTTAGGTTTTTTTTTTTGATCGTATAATTTGCATTTGGTTTCTCGCAGACCGGAATAAACGAATAAGGAATAGCCTTAATAAAGCTGTTAGTGGGTTAAAAAAATATTAACGATCGTTTGTGAATGGATGCCGTGTTACGTCCGTCAGCGATGACAGATCGATTATCATCTGCTCTATCATAGAAAGTGCTGGCTCTTTGCCTTTTTTTTGCCGAGCTCTTCAATCGCGCGCAATGTTTTTGTAAATCGTCCTTCTTTTTCTACGACAAGCATAGAGAGTAGAGACTACGATCGACTTTTGAGGTTCGTAGTTCCGTAAACACTTTCAGAGTGCCTTCCGGACGATGTCCGTTATACTTTTTTTTGCCAGCAGCTGATGTGCTTCTTGATGCGACGTGTTAAACGAAGAAAAAGAAGCAACTCTATTTACATTACGTTTAAGAAAATGAATAGGTAACGAGCGGTAAATTGCGTGATCCCCTCTTTAGCGCGTCAGTTTCTAGCAGAAAAAAAAGAGACCGTGAAACACGGGCTTTTAAACCTGGCTTCGTCGAACGGGGAATCGCTCGGCGCGAAGCCAGTGTCTCTCTTTTTTTCACGATATACATTCCACTTGAAATTAGCGTCCCTCTGAAATGTATTATGCGTGTGTATGCGTGTGAGTGAGAGAGTGCGTAATTCGATTCCAGGCAGATGTCGATCGCTGTATTCGAAGTGCTAGTCACTTGTTATCGAGAGAGGATAATAATAAAGGAGCGTCTTTTGTTAAATCCCATCAAGTCGAACTTTTCACCGTCCCGCCGTCCGTTTCCCATCCAGCGTGAGTCGTCGATGGCCATCCTGGGTAAGTCATTTTATAATTAACGAAGATTTTATATTTTTGCAAATGCATTTATGAGTAATATTGTTCTCTTTATGTGTAAATAATATACTGAAATAGCTCTGATTTTTTCAAATCTCTTAATCAGGGTGTTCTTGTGTATATTTGAAATTTATGAATGCTATACCTAGATTCGAAATTAGTTAGTTTACCGTATTGTTTACCGTTAGCCAACGACGAGGCCTCGAGAGACATCACGGCCGTAGATTTCGCGAAAAGTCGGCCGATGCAATCTCGCGAGCTAATTTAACGAATTTCGCTAAGCGAGCTCACCGTCGACCGAATAACTAGCGATTCGGGCCAAGGTTTCGGGTGCAGCACGTGTTCGCTCGTCTCTCTCGGGTCGCGCGATACAGAAATAAAATACGGCTCTCCCCCCCCCCCCT